CAAAAAAAGCCAAAAAAAGAAATAAGCTATAAAAGATTACTACGATCAATAGCTGCCGAGCACCCGCTGAACCGCATGGGGGATGCTAGTAGTGACCAGCGGATCAAACTACTTCAATCCGTTAAATGTATTCATTGGATTTTCGATTTTATATCAATGATATTAAGTTGATTATGTAATATAGAAATCTATCTGAACAGGATATGATTTCCAACTGGCCACCGTCCGTACTATACATAATGTCACGTGGTAAACTGTAACGCAAATCTACGCAAGCCACGTGTTTCAGTGTTTTCTATTGAATCTTATACACATACAGACATACAAATGATTAACACCGAAAGGATAGGCAGAGTTGCCAATAACAATGTCATTTTTCACCTGTGATTTTAGTATCTGTATCTGGGGGCACTACCGTGCCCCCGCCAAGTCGAGCGCGAAGCAAACACTGCCGTACCATCCTTTACTGAAACCATTTCGCCGCATTTTCAGGCCCCTATTTAAGAACCTCTGAATAAGACCAGAACGCCTTATTGCGATTTCGTTATTATTATAGTTAGTTAATGTTGTGTGACTTGGCCGTTGAAGGGGAACCCGCGTTTTCCAAGTGGCAATTTTCCATCGTCAATCGGTAGCGGTTTTGGCGACAGATTGGTGCAATGGTACCATGGAGCACCTGGTTTTCACCCCAGGTGTGCCCTTCAACGGCAAAGTCACACACAACTTTAACAATAATATAACAAAATCGCAATTAGGAACCCAATAAGGACTTGGCACGACTTTGTTATATTTCATTACTTTTTAGAGATAAACTAGCAGCTTCATCGAGACTTGGCTAGTTTTTATATAATGCTTTATAAAATGTTTTTGGTGCGATTCTTTTTTTTTATTTTTTTTTGTATCTGTATGCGTGCCTACTGACAAATAAATGCTCTTTCATTCTTTATAAAATAACTGTTTTATAATGGAAATGAGTCGGCGACGCTTGACCACTATCCCGCCTGGTGGTGAGCGATGATGCGGCCTACGATGGAGCACGTCTGCCGCAAGCAACCTATTCACTCGGGCCATGAAGACACCCAAGTGACATTCTCTATACCTACAAACCCCGGCAAACTGCCTTTTTAACCGACTTCAAAAAATAAGAAGTTCTTAAGTTGACCTGTATGTATGTTTCTGCGCGATTATTTTGCGATTGGCTGAACCGATTCTGATGCGGTTTTCAGAAAAGTGTATGTTACACTTAAGAGAGGGTTTAGTATATTAATCAATCGACTTCAAAAATAGGGATTGCAATCGGTTTTGTCAAACGCAGTTCACAAAAGAATTATGCTTATTAATTTGTAACTTAAGTGTATTTCATTGCAGAAAGTTCCAGAATGCCCGTCGGGAGTTGCTGGGGCGAAGGCACTAGCTTGTGACGCTGATGCGAAGCCCACCATACAGTTCAAGAAGCTCACAGAATTTTATGTTCAACGACATGGCGACCTGAAAATACTAGGCCACGTATTTGTGGCTATCCACTGCCTTCAGAACCATTAGCTAAGGATATTATCTATGTGCTCTAGGTCAAATAGGGTAGATGACTAATTTTTGTTTTAATGTCCGTCTTGTAAATTATTTTAAAACATTGCACACGTATTTTTATTCTTTTACAGAATCGAATACTTTCGACGATATAGGTATTGATTTGAAATGTCGTGTGACGTCACTTCTATGTATATTTTAAACGTAGAAATGACGTTTTAGCCCCAGTGCTAAACTTTGATTCGTTATATCTAAGTATAATTTTATTATACAACAAAATAAAAAATAAATGTCTTATATTTTCTCATTACCTTACTGATGGACTTAATTCGATTTTTAATTTTCATACCCTGTCATCATCCCTATTGTTATTCCGCGTCTGAGTGTCATTAGTGTGAACTTATATGTTTATAAACACACACACGTCACAGCAGAAAATCCTAGTGTAAGGCTACGATAAAAAAGCGACTTTAATTGTTAACATCACAGAAAATTGTCTCATTCTTAAAATCGACGTGTGTTGTACAGGTGCCTATGGTCCTCGGATTTTAAGCTTAATTTGTCTACAGGTATAATAAAGGAATATTTATTCAAGAATACCTACTCAATTATATTATTTTACCTAATAGTGCCTACATATTTTTACCTGTTCCACATGAATGTTGTTTCGCAACTTTCCGGTGAATTATTCTAAGTTTTCTTACGTATAAACTTTGTCTGTCGATATTCATTAGTTCCAAAGTTATGAGAAAGCAAAGTTTCGCATTTATGACACTCACTCACTCACTAATGATCATCAATAGGTACTTCCCATAAACTCAAAGAGCTGAAATTTGGTACAGAGTTAGGGTTTAATGGCCACATAAAGGGTACCTTAAAAAACTAGGATAATTGAAGATATGGAGTATCTTGAGACCCTGGTTAGAGACCACAAGAGCCCAACCAAACTACTACAGATTTACATGTAGTGCGTATAAAAAATTCAACTTGGTGATGAAGCTGCCCTCATTTGATGTCAAAAATCAAAGATTTGAAGAATCTGATGAACAACCATCAGCAGGTCTCAGCTGTATTGGAGATATGATTGGACTTCTACTATTGGTATTATTAAAACCGAGTGTCTTAAACTGTCAAACACCGCGAGGACACCGGTGACCGCAACCTATTGTTCTATAATTGTGTCTATAATGACGGTACTTGACGAGTTAAATCTAGCCTTTAGCGCCATTGCTGAACGAATGCCTCCCTTTCTGCTTTTAATACGCATATAAATTAAACTGCTTTTAATACGCATATAAATTAAACTGCTTTTAATACGCATATAAATTAAACTGCTTTTAATACGCATATAAA